GAAATGAATTGGTTCATACTCTTCGCTGTAAACCACACCCTATATCCCAGCATCTCGACCCAACCTACAATTACAAAATTATCCAATAACATCTCTCCAAAGCCAGTCGTAACATGGCACGGTGACCCACACCCGATCAACCCTGCTTAAAAAAATAGATTTATCCGTCTGATTCAATGGGGCATCCAACTGCGACAGAAGAAAAAAAAAACTACGCAGAAATTACCCAAGTAAATTCTTAGACCCGGATATAAGAGAAACCCGGATATAAGAGAGATTTTCTCTGGTCCCAAATTAGAGCCTGTGTTAATGTATATAAAATAGACCAAACCCGGATATAAGAGAAACCCGGATATAATAGACTTCTTCTCCGGTACCGACATCTCTCTTATATCCGGGTTACACTGTATATAAATATTAATCGTTCTTCCCTTTCCCTTCCAACAATCAATGCAGGACTCGGAAACCCAGTTACATTTTTTATCCAAATTTTCACAAAACATTAATAAATATATAATCATATAAAACATATTGTCTTCCGGAGACTTGTAAAAATATAAATGAAACCCCTTGCTCTGTCCTAGAAATCTCTGATTATCTTTGGGCGAACAATCATTTCCATTAAAATCTCTTCGTTTTGTTATTGTTTTAAATGCCCATTCACACTGATACATAATGATATCTTCTTCCTGGGTGACCTGAAGTGAGTTCTATCTTCACTGGATACCCCACATAGGGCCGGCGTATACTACCCCCGAAGAGCCCCCCACCCCGACCGAGAGGGGCCCAAGCCTGATTGGGGACCTCAGACAGTGCTTTATGACCTTCGCTATCTTATTTGCTTTTTTTCTACCTACATTTACATACGTTACAAATTAAACTAAGCACAACTGACTATTAAGGGATAAAACATTTTCAAGGACTTTGAGGTAATTCTGAGTTTTATTTTTTATTTTCGTCCAAATCCATCAATTTGTTTGGCTCATGCTAAGTTTCAAAAAAGCACTATATAAATTTTACTATTTTTTATCCATAATGCTGAATGTGTCAAAATTATTCAAATTTTTGACAAGAAAAATCTCAAGTTGATGTTAAAAATTACCGCAAAACATTGTTGATTTATTTTAAGGTAAAATAATCTATCATGACATACCTCTATTGTATTTAGATACATTGTATTTATTTTCAATTTTTGTAGTTGAATTGTTCCCCTATATTGTATATGATCCATTAATGTACATAATTAAGCTACAATAAAATGTGTATTTCATATGAATACTACCTTATGAAAATTGAGATGATGTAGAGGAGGAGTGGGGCCGTATCGGTAAGGGCCCACGTGACCCTTATACGGGCCCTGGCACTACACACGTTAGAATAAGCTAAGGATGCACCGAGGCTAGTTGCGCAGATCATTACTACTGCTATGAGTTTGATCCTTACTATTCCAGTACGTTTACTGAAGTTAATCAACCTCGAACCTAGATGGGTGCCCTCTTGCAAAATACCAGGTGTGATGACCTTGAGAAAGGTATGAATCCATCTCTTCCACCCAGCTATGGGTCATTTAGTAAGACGAGTATCACTAAACCATTATTATCTTCTCCTCGCCAAATTCTTACAACTTAAAAACATTTCCAGGCTTTAAATAACCTGAAAAGTGTTGATAAACCTTAGGAAACGAATCAATCAATCTCTTCTAAGGGTTTGATCGATTTGTTTTTTGCGTTTTACCAGCATTTTGTAAATTATTTAAAAACAAAAAAAAATATGGATTTTAAGAATTTTTTAAAGTTTATAATGATTTATTGATACAAGTTCTACAAATTAAACCATAAAAAAAGGTGAGTTCATACCTTTCCCATTAGTATTTGCGCGTAATTTGCGGTTTATGGCTTATTTTAGTTAAAACAGGAAAACTGCTTTTTTATCCAAAGTTTATCTAGGAAAACGTAAACAAAGAAAATTCAAACATCGATAAATCCTTTAAAGTAATACTTGTAAAAATTTCCAAAACTTAGATTGAGGTTAATCGCCCCTTTCTAATTCATAAGACGCCATAACGGTTACCGTTACAGAAACTGGATTCGATGAGCAGAGTTCAAACTCCAGCTTAGCCTGTTGTGTTCACTTAGTATTAATACCTTTGGAAAAGCATGAATCTATATACACCCCACTCTCACCAGCTATGAGTTAAATCTCAGGTTAGAGTGCGCTTTCCAGGCTTGGAGGACAGCGCTTTTGAAGTACAACTCTTTCGTGGAGAAAGCATTGGGAAAACACTAAATTATCTTTGCCAAGAAATCGTGACAATTCACAGATAATAAATAAAACGAATCTGTGGTGATCCATGATTACTTACGTCCTAAAGGGAAATCCTATTAAAAACGAAAAAAAAAAGAAAGAAAAGAAAGCAAGAAATAACCCTTTTAGTTTCTTTCTCTTGCATCAATACTGATTGACTGTGCTATGTATTACATTGGAACCGAAATTAACCCTTTTGCAAGAACTGAATACACCCATAAATAGGTGTAAGACAAGAATGTGTCTTCTCACCGTACTAATTCTACTTATACAGTAAGACGATTCTGAGAGAATTAGAAGTCCCAACAGGATTCGTTATTGGCGGCCACAATCTTAACAACATAAGATATGCAGATGGCACAGTCTTGATCCCATGAACAGAAAAGAAACAGCAAGAACTTCTACAGAAGATAATGAAGGAAAGCGAGAAGAAAGGACTAAACCTCAGTTGCAAGAAGATAGGATGTATGGTTGTTAGTAAAAGGAACAACCCAACATGCAAATTACAAATTGAAGATACCAAAATTAAACAAGTATAATTTAAATATCAGTGAAGTATTTTAACAGCGGACGGAAAGTGCGACATTGAAGTCTTCCAAAAGCTAAGCAATGTATTAAGAAACAGGAAAATTTTGTTAGAAATAACAAAAGAAAATGAGTACTGAACTGTTACGTAATATCAGTCATCCTATATGACGGATGAAAAAGAGACTTGATGCAACAGAAATTTGGTTTTACAGGTATATGCTGAGAATACCATGAACCGAAGATGTGAACAACAATGAAGCTTGAGAAATGGAAACAAAAAGGACACTTAAACTTAACATCTGGAAGGGAGAGTTAAAGCTTCTAGGGCATATAATGACGAAACAGGGCTTGGAAAATTTGATCTACACTCGACAGATTGAAGGCAAGAGAGTCGGAGGAAAACAACGCATAACCTACCTAGCAAGCTTGTGTAAATGAATGGCAGAACAAGTTTTAGGAGAGATAACACAAAGACAAAATTTATTAAGAACTACAAAAGACAGGAAATTGTGGAGAACTATGATCGCTAACGTCCTAAAGGGACACGCCACATAGAAGAAGAAAAATTGTAAAATACGAATGTCTGTAATGTGAAACGTGTATATCTTGTTCCGGGGAAAAATTAGACAATTGGCTTATGAGTTTCTATTCTAAGATTCAAGTTGATAAGTTATGTAATGTGTTAATGGCAATCAATCTAGATCAATGATTTCTAACCTTTTTTGTTCCACCTAAGCATCTCTAAAATTCGTCATTTTTATGACTTCTGTATTTAAACTGAATACATTTTCTAATAAAATAAATGACGATAAACAGGATTGAAATTTGATCATTTTGCCGTTGGCGAAGCGACAGGTACCGAATTAGTTTTGTTTAACTCACAGAATGTTTAGTTATGAACTTTTAAAATCTTTGGAAGCTATAATATTTATCTGCTAAATAACATTCTTTTTCCCTTTGTTTTTCTATTGTACTTAATTCTTAAACCTGTTATTGTTACCCTTAACAGAAGAGCTTGTTTCACGTTCTCTCTTACACTGCGTTGGCGTGATGTACACTTGGAACTTAAGCAGGAATTCGGTAAAGTCGGAAGTCAACGTGACATTGTTAGTTATGAGTGCGTTTATAATATGTGCGTGTATATGTATTTTCTAAATTAATATATTTGTTTTATTTATATAATTGATGGAATGCATCAACCGCTTATCTTCTGTTGTAACTGAAAAACAAATATATATTAAACTGGCTCATGACGTCATATTAAAGTCTTTGTCACTAGCTACGAAGCACCTAAATATTATTATTGCTCACATCTAACGAATTCACTACAATATGAATAGAACAATTAGAATTACAAACTGATACTGTATAATTTTGACAGACCGTAATTCTTGTATATGCTTCACCCTCTCCCTCCATCTTCCTATATTCTTACTAAAAAAGACGCAGCTAGATGCTGGTGACAGTTCGGAGGATGAGTCCATTTCATTCATAAGGGTTTAGAACAAGTTGGAAAAATGCTTCCGATGAAGTAAAGCCATAATCAGAAAAAGTGCGAAAACAAATGCCGCTTCCCCCCTTCTGTATACAGAAATTGGCAACTACCTAACGGGTTTCCGGGCCAACAATTAATGCATTCTACCTCTAATCATTACTTTTTCTTCTCTTTCCCAACTTACTCTCTCTATCTCTTTCCCTTTCTTCACTCTTCTTTCTCCCGATATTAATGACCGGTGAGAGTAAAAGTGAGAGCGAGAATATTAGAGAGAGTAAAAGAAAGGGAAAAGGAAGCCGAGAGGAAAACAAAACATACAGAGGGGAGGAGGGAGTTTATTTTTACTCGTCTACGTTATTGACATCTTGCCACATTTGAAGCTCTTTCGTGGTTCGCAAGTGGTCTGCTGCATGCCACACTTAGTCCACAACTGCTTCAGACAGTGACTCATAATACAGGCATTATTATTATTATTATTAATATTATTATTATTATTATTTAGGTCCAAGCCTCTTTCTAAATTCTAGTATTTTGTTTGTTTTTGTTTGTTTTTGTTTTGTTTTTGTTTTTTTTAAATCAAACTTCTTTAATTTCTTATCGCGATATTCTTCACATTGGAGTACCTAGTGGAGATTGTTGAGTTTACTAAACACGTATCTCTTTCTTGTACAAAATGCCTGACGTGATAACCACACAGCCTTCTACTGATTCGAACCCAGCGGCACAGCCGACACCGCAAACTACACCCGCACCTCAAGTGCAAGGTGTAACTCCACAACCTCAACAAGGGTTCACAGGTCCTCAACCAGGACAAACCCCGGCACCACAAAACCCGGCCCCTCAACAAGGATACACTGTCCCGCAGCCCGCACAAGCACCTTCACAGCAAGGTTACATTGCTTCACCTGCAGGACAAACGGCCCCACAACAGGGTTACGTACCTCAACAACAAGGATATTCCGGTCCACAATCGGGTCAAGCACAACCACCACAAGGATACGTTGCTCCTCAACCACCACAACAAGGCTATAACCCAAATCAACAAGGATATACACCCCAGCAGCAACCGACTTATGTACCCCAGCAGCAACCCGGATATACACCTCAACAACCCGGTTATGTACCCCAGCAACAGCCGGGATATGCTCCCCAACAACAACCAGGATATGCTCCCCAGCAACCGCCCCCACCGTCAGGATATGTCCCTCAGCAACAACCAGGATATGCTCCTCAACAACCACCACCTCCACCAGGATATGAACCCCAGTCACAGGCTGGATTTGCCCCCCAGCCGCCGCCACCACCTCCTGGATATGGGCCTCAAGCGGGTTACGCACCCCAACCAAGTTATGTTCCTCAGCCAGGTTACGCACCTCCGCAACCACAGGTTTCCGGGGCTGCAGCCCCTGTTTATCCAGTCCTTGATGGGCAAGGAAACCAGCAAAACCAATGGATGCCGAAACCGGAGACAATATCCGGCTGTCCTCCAGGCCTGGAATACTTAACACTAATTGATCAAATTCTGATCAAACAAAAAGCCGAAGTTCTTGAAACGCTAACCGATATCGAAACCCAGAACAAATACAAATTAGTCAACAGCGCTGGACAACAAGTGTATTTCGCAACGGAAGAAACGGATACATGTCTCCGTCAAATCTGTGGTAGTGTCCGAGGTTTTGTCATGCATATTGTCGACAATCACGGACAGGAAGTAATGAGGGTTAGCAGGGATTTCAAATGTTCAGCTGGTTGTTGCTGGTGCATCTGTTGCAAAGCATGTGCTCTGGAGGTCATCATCGAAGCTCCCGTGGGTGAGGTGATCGGCAAAGTGAAGCAAACATGCAGTTTCCTCAGACCCTACTTCCACATTACTACCCCTGAAGACGAAATCGTACTTAAAATTCGCGGACCTGTTGCCCAAGTGCCCTTCTGTGTAGCGGGTCAAGATTTTCAGGTTTTGGCGCCCGACAAGAACACAACTGTTGGTAAAATCAGCAAAGAACGAACAGGGCTTATTAAAGAGATGTTTACAAGAGCTGACAATTTTGGGGTTACATTTCCAATGAATTTGGATGTAAAAAGCAAAGCTGCCATGATCGGGGCAGTTTTTCTTATCGACTTAATGTATTTTGAAAGACAATTTCAATTGAACAGGGAACAAACCCAAGCGGCTGCTACTGCAGCCTCTGCTGCAACTCCCGCCAGATCTATGTTTAGTTTTCTCTCCCGCAATACGGAACGTTCGTCTTGAAAGTCTAACATTGCGCAAGGATAATAATATTTCACCTATATATATATATATATATATATATATATATATATATATATATATATATATACATGTGATTTCTACGATGAAGACAATAAAAAGTCCAGAGAATATGGAAAAAATACTACTGAATATGCTGCCAATGACAGTGAGTCGAGCTTAAGAATCTAACTTTATTTCAACTTTATTGCTTTAATTTCTTCTCTAATCCAACCAGACTTACATTGTTGATAGGCGTTCATATGGACACAAACTTATTAAAACCAAGTAAATTTAAACCTGAAATTTACTTGTGGATCATTTAGCGTTTCTTGTTTTATTGTATGGATTTCTACTTTCGCCTTAAGTTTGACATTAATTATTGACGTATGAATAGACACACAACATACACACACATACATACATACATACATACACACACATACATATATAATCTCATTATATACCCAACGGAATATTTTAATTGATAAACTCGTTTTCGCTTGTCTTCTATTGTGAAAAGGCACTGAAAACCTTTCACATGTGCATACACGAAGGTACATCGAGTAACATATCCATACACATTCACACACGCAGACGCGCGCGTACATCAAGTGACACACCCATCCACACACAAAGATGACTAGTTTATCTCAGCAGAAAAAGCGTCACTGGATGTCGGCATCGTTTTCCAAATTTGTTTTGGATAAGTTTCTGGAAAAATTATAAAACCCCAAATTTTGAACCCCTTCCTCTCTCTCTCTCTCTCACTATATATATATATATATATATATATATATATATATATATGTGTGTGTGTGTGTGTGTGTGTGTGTGTGTAAGATTTAAGAAACAGCAAATATTTTTTATATATAGTGCTCAATATTAAAAATATTCAAATAATATTAAGAATAGAGCGTTAATAATATTATATAAAAGATTAATTAACTTTTAAATATCAATTTTATCCCTAAAATAAAATTGTATTTGAAAATAGACTTTTCATATATATATATATATATATATATATATATATATATATATATATATATATATATATATATATATATATATATAAATTCTCAAAAGTATGTATACACTGTTCCATAGGTACAGGATGTTCTAAATGTCACATCGGTATTTTTCATACATTTATTTTTTCTTTTTTTTTCAGTGCTTAGATTAAATATTAACAACATAAGATAAGAAAATAAGTTAATTTCACTATGTTAATCTAAGTTCTGAACGAAAAAGAATCTATATACATATGTTTTTGTAGACATTTTCAAAACTACAGGTATTGGTTCTTCGATTTGTGCATGACTAATAATGTTTAATTCTAGAAGTTACTATAAAGATAGCGTAGTTTACAAGTACAATGTTCACTAACTTTACAGTACAGAAGCAAAGTGAAATAAAATCGGTCATGTATTCTTAGTGGCAGATAATTGGTTTCATTAAAAAGGGGAAAAAGAATAAAGTAGACTGATTGTTATTATTTATGTTGTTGACTGTTGTGTTCGTAATAGTTTCATTTTGTTATGGTAATATCCTCGTTTACCAGCGTTAATTTTTTGTTTCGCAATGGCGTGGAAAATCGGTTTTTTACCTGATGAAAATTTAATAGAATATTGTGAGATATGGATGTGTGGCTCTTGCCTTCTATGCCATATTGATTTCTTTGTTTATTATACTATTCTTTATGGAATCCTTAGTTATTCAACAACCTTCTCTCTCTATCTTTCTATCTATTTATCTCTCTCTGTGTGTAATATATATATATATATATATATATATATATATATATATATATATATATATATATATATATATATATTTGAAATACTTAAAAGAGTCAAAGACTTATTTTCCGTCTCAGTGTTTTGCAGAGGTAAATCCTCACAGCTGGGGAAAGATAAATCTATTAAATTTGAGAGCAGATATCATATCTATTTTATAATACGTTACATTAAAATAAAACGTTAACTTTTGACATCGGCTAAATTTTAAATTTGTTTCATCTTAAAAAATTTTTTACGTGAGATCATAATCTGTAAGTGTTCATATTGGTGTATATATATATATATACATACATACACACACAAACATATAAATAAATAAATAAAACTTTTAAAGCTATCAGTCATCAAAATAATTCTGGGCAAGCGTACTATTTCACCCACAGTCTGCTACTGTACCCGTAATCTACTCGGATATATATTTCATTACTGTCTGTAACTGTTGCTATCAGACTGTCCGAAGTTATGTACTTATATTTTTTTTCGGTGTTATCTTTTATAATGATACGAGAAGTTGTGTATAGCCATTGACTTAAAACCATATATCCTGCATTGCTAGAATCATTATTTGCAAAAATCTGTATATGAAAATATTTATAATCTGATGTGCAAAAAGATGAACAAAAAAGGTCAGCGCTTCGCTTTTATCAGCTGTGCAGTCTGGACGTAACTGAACTATTCATTGGAAGGTTTGCCTACTTTAGTCGTTCTTTTTGGATGTAGGTAGGACCAATGCTTTTCTTGCAAGATAGACTAGCTTCGTTTTATACTCTACTACTGCAAAGGTAAAATTCTATAGTAGCAACACACACCCACGTATGGATATATAGATTCGCATCTTTTCATACAGTGAACAGCGCTTAATCATACAGATATACATGCAAGCACACACGCAGATTCACGACTGATTTTTATGCCTTATAAATCTGCAAACGCTATGGATTTTTTGTTCTTTTTTTTTTGTTCTTTTTTTTGTTCTTTTTTTTCTGAAGCAATAATCTCACAGGACGTTTTAAAGAAAAATACGAAAAAAAAAACAAAAACAAAACAAATTAAAAACTATTTATATTTCTCTGTCAAATTAAATAAAATAAATGAATGCAAGGTGTCGATTTAAAAAAATAAAAGAGAGAAAATATTTTATCACAAGTTTGGCCTTATTTTCTTTTCCCGTATCTCTTAAGCCTTCATTTCCCCCTGTTAAAAGAAACTCCGTGTACAATTTAAAATAACAATCATTTCATTCTTTAATTACACCCCCACCCCAAAAAAATCATGTTTTGAAGTGATGTACGTACAAAAATGAAATGTCTTGTAAAATATTTGACGTTTTTTCTCCGCGCTTTCTTTTTGTTTTTTTGTTTTTTTTTTGTTTTGTTTTTTCATTTTTTTTGCCCCATTCATGTTCAGTTCATAAGTGCTAAGAAACATTGGAATATAAAAACGGTAAGTTGTAATTATTGCATATTTCTCTCCGTACAAAATTTCATATTGTTGTTTCTTTGGGTTTTTTTTTTTTTATTTGTTTTTTAGATTGGAAAGATACTCCAAAAGAAACATATTTCTCAATGTTTCTTGGTAAAACTGTCAGTCGTTTTCAGCACATTTTCTGCTTTCTAATTGGTAACGTTTACTAAAAAAACATTTTCTGGGTGCTGTTCTGACTCTTCACTTATAATTTAGAATTGATATCAATTTAAGTTTAAGTGACAAATCTTTACAATATATATATATATATATATATATATATATATATATATATATATATAATTTGATAATAAAACTACTTTTTTAAAGTAAAGTTAAATTATTACTCAGAAAATACTATAAAGCTGTGATTTTCAACAGGTGTGCCGTGTAACAATAGTGTGCCGCGATAAACTGGTGTGCCGTGAGAGGAACGTAGATGTGACGCGAAAGTTTTTAAAGGTCATTAATTAAATTATTTTTAAAAGAAGTCCAAAGCACAATAACCGTATACATATCAAAATTAAAACCCCTAAATTGATTATACGAGTATATCATTATTATAATAAATAAAACGTATACATAATATATAAAGTGGGCGAGTGTGTGAAATGATGTGCGCCATATGATGGCGAGATTTGACAAAGACTTACCGATGAACACCGTTCGAAGAAAGTTTTCTGCAATAAACAATATTAAAAATATAAATAGATCACTGTTAGAATCATTGGAAGAAGATTTAAGAACATTATGCCTGTCCAAAATTCAACCTTGCAAAGAAGATATTCTAAAGAAACTTCAAGCAAAGATATCTCATTAAATGTTAAATTATAATAAATAGTAAAATAAATAAATATAAGTTTTTTAAGAATTTTGATTATTCTCTTTTTACTACAAATTATAATAAATTGCTTTGTTTATGTTAATAATTCATAAAAAAATAATATACTTTTTTTAAACTCTTTTTCTTTTTGTATCACCATGGATAATTTAAGTCTAAGTGTAACGCGAAGAAATTTAACTATAGGTTCGAGTGTGTCATGAGATAAAAAATGTTGAAAAACATTACAGTCTAAATGTATCTTGCTAAAAAAAAAAAAAAAAAAACTATTGTAACCGTTGAACCTGACTAATTTTAAATATTTTATGTTGAGGAGCCCAATAGAATTAATTTAAATTTATTTTCCTGACAACTTGATGAAGAAAAGATTCTATGTAACAATATGTTACATTTTTCAATGCATAATGCCACATTTGCTAATTAATGGAAGTCTTTAATTGCCATGAGTCAATTAGCATTATAGATGCAAATGTAATTAGAAAGCATATTTACTAATATGAAAATTTATCTTGGACCTTGTTTCACGGTCAACTTTGAATTGATTTCATTAGAAATCTTAAGAATGTCTAAGATGATAGCTGCATACGATAAAAAACAATAATCTTTCCTTTTCTTTCTCAGCGATGTGACAATTTGTTATATGTAGTGTTGGTAAAAGTCTAGAATCGAGGGTCATAAAACAGCGAGCTAAAATTTATATATATCGTTTATTATTTTTAATATATTTTCAAATACATTTTTCGAAATATATATTCAGATATATATCCCTGTACGTGCGAATGCTTGTTGGTTCCTTTTTTCTCTCTGGGAAAACACTTTTTTAGATGAAACCAGCGATTCTGTATTATTTGATTATGAACTAAAAAGATTAATGTGTAAATCAACAAAATTACTTT